GTTCCGCGTGAACTTCTTTTACGCGAATGAAAATCGCGTAGGTAGAGTTTGTGAGTATAGGAGAATAAATATTGAAAATAAAAGCTAATGTGAATTTTGAAAACGTATTTATCTCATATAGTTTAACAAGAAAGTAATCGTAACATTTCAGGAAACAAAAGTAAATTTTTTCGGCGCCACTATCGTTGCTGTAATTTGATAGAATCTACCTTTTCTTTTTAATTGGCACAAATTAATCATTAATCATTGCTCGAAATATTTGGAAGTTTAATTTCATTTTCATTGTTGATTCGAATTTGATTTCAATTAAAATTTATAACTAAATTTATATATTTGTGATAAGTTTATAAATTTATATTGTTTTCTCATATTATAGATTTATATAAAATTATATAAGAGTACAACTTTTAAATAATTCTATAAGAAGAATTCTATTTTTTCATAAGAAATTTCTTTGACCAAGTCTTCATTTTCTTGATATTCGTTGCAACATGTCGAAATTTGAAGACTGTTTGAATATTTCAATTAATGTTTATTGTGGCAGTTCCTAATTTTTTTTTGCTAATTCAAGAACTTCATAAAAATTCAATGGATGCGTAAATTCAGGTCGCTTATACTAAATACCACGTAAATGATGTTATAACAGATCTGGACGTTTTCTGACATTTTAAACTTATTGTTTTAAACTAAGTTTTCAGAATTATTTGATAAATAATCTATTTCGAAATAACACAATTCGGCGGAGGTTTGCGAATAAAAATAAGAAGCATATATATTTATTTAGATTTTCAGCAATTTTTATCATAGCACAGGGTACGAAAAAAAAATTCTATCCCTTATGAAAAACGCTCCCTTTCTTCTGCAAATGGACAGTGTCCAAATCTAGTTTGTTTTTCGAATTCTTTATGTCTTTCTACATTTATTAGTACTGTTCATATCCGTTACTGTCTTCTCTGAACTTAAAAATAAAAAGCGATAAAGAACGGGTTACAAGTATTGATTGCACAAGCTTAAAACCAGCTTTACAAAATGCGTGGAACGAAATTAGAATAGCCGAGTGTACGACGATCATTAGTAATTTTCGACAAAGGTTTCGAAAACGCAGTGAAACAGGTGTAAGTTTTGAACACTTAATGTAAATTTTATTGTTCAATTTTGTGATTAATATGTTCGTTAAACATGACAAATATATAGAATATTAAATTGAAGTGTTCTTATTTCCAAAGCAGCTAAATATAAATATACAAATATATATAAGGACAGAATGTTCTCCGCATTTTGTGCATATCCAATGAAAAAAAAGGATCGAATAAATTCCATAAAAATGTATTTTTACAATTACAATAATCGTACAATTCATGGTGCGCGTCATTTTGACATAATATTTAATCAAACATTTAACCAGAAACTTAACGAAACGCCATATTATTTTAAATATTAGAAATAATATATAATAATAATAATATAAGAATAGTATATAATAATAATAATATATATTTTCAATATTAGAAATAATAAAAAATAGAAACATACAAGTATGATATTTTGTTAATTTTTCGTTTAGATATTAGTAACAATGTCAAAGTTAGTACATCACTATGGAGAGAAGTTACATATGTAATTTCTAAGAAGGCGTGTGTTGCTCTTTTGTTTCGCTTTGCACGTATCGAAAAAATTGGGAGAAACTGTTGGTGAAGCGTATTGCAGTTCCCTTTATAAAAGGATCTAGTTTCGTCGAACTTTCCGGAACGTTTTATCAAGAAGGATTTTTGTCGTTCTAAAATTTCTGTCGAAAAAGTGATTAAGCACGTGCGTCGCAAAATTCGACTCTAATCCGACGAACGCGCCCGACGTGTTCAACCATCCCATCCCTCGATCAGAGGGGTCTCGTCTCGATCATAACAGCCGGGGGTTAGTTTGATCTCAGATAGGGCTGGAATCATGGGGCGTAACAGCGTAGGGAGCCCACAGACGGGGAGATCCTCCGAGGGGACGCCGAAAGTTCATTTCTCCATTTTCGTGTTCCAGCACGTCCGCTTTTTTTTACGTTATTCGGTTTCGCCGCTAGAAAAATCCTTTAACGCAATTAAACAACATATATGTACCCCGTATTTCAAAAAAAAGCCCGGCGGAAGTAATAGAGAGCAAAATCGTAAGGGAACGCTTCGACAATTCCATTATACTATTCCCTAAAATCAATCAATTTTCCGAAGAACTGCGATTAAAAATCTTCTACAATCGTCTTCGTGCTTTGCACTCGAGCCATTTTGCCAAAAATACTGCTGACAATTGTATGTTAACATTATTTAGAATTTATTTTATATTTATTTTATACTTAGAATTAATAATAGAATTATATTATATATCTTTTATATTTAGAATTTTCAACAATATTTCTCGACGTATTTTCTATTAATCTTTCTACACACCTTAACTCTTTGCAGTCGAGTGGTGAAATAACTAACTAAAAAATTAAAAAAAATTTAACTTAACTAAAAAATTGTTATATCAAGTACCAAAATAATTTCTACGTTATCACATTTGTTCATATTGAAAAAAGTTGTACTGTTCAAAGTGCAACTGTTGTATGAATCGCAAATAGCGTGAGTCAAAAAAGCTGTATTTTCGATTTAGAGTTAAAATGGCTTCCGGTGCAAAGGGTTAACAAAACGTGCGAAAAGATCGATTAAATTTCTAGAGAATCGAATAATAATATTTATACACGGAGTGTTAAGCAAATGAATGAAACAGGCACAGTATGTGTGTACTTTTTGGTTTTGATCGACCGGAGCAAGAGTCTGGCCGATTCCTGGAAACTGAGGGTATTCCGCTATTTTCCCGAGGATATTTCAAAATGGCGGACTCTCGACACGCGAAGGAAGTTCGAGGCTGGTTAAATAACCGGTTTCCTAATTCGTCGCGCCGTCCGAGCCGCGCTCGTGTCTAATTGCATACCATCTATGTCGCGCCGCCGTTTTAACACCTGTCTTACGAAAATCCATTAGCGGTACGGATGCACAGGCTCGAATAGTCAGTCGACGGGGGAAATTTGTAGCTGTGGTCGCGGGTACACGCGCGGCCCGTGATTACAACCCCTGTTTCGCACCCTGCGATCATCCGACGTAACTGAAACGACGCGAAAAATTCTACTATTGTGACACACGGCTGCTTTGTAAATGCGTTTCGCTGAGAACCTAACAATTTCTTTATTGCACGAGTTTGCTTAAAAAATAGTGGAAAGCGGATCTTCCATATTTATTTATTTATTTATTTAGAGATAAAAGATTCTTTAGTACGCGAGGCTTGATTACGAATTAAACTCGGGTAGTTAGAATATTAAAGATGTTTTGTTTAACAGTATTACGTATTATAGCAGTATATTATAGTAGCACGTATATTATAGAATAATTTATGTTTTTAGATTGCACTTAAACCTACGGAACTCTAAATGCGACTGATGCATGTTACTGTAATACTTTATAAGAAGATTGCAGATTTTATGCACTTATGACGAAAGTAGGCGGATGACATTTAAAACAACCAATACAGAATGTTTCATAATTCATGGTGCAAATTGGGTCAGGTAGATTATATGGTTGGAAATAAGACGAAAATCAAGAATAACGAAATTGTGCGGAAGCTTCGTTTTTCAGGAAATCAAATTTAAATATCAGCCGAACACGTGCACTTTGAACAATATCTTGACTGAAAATAATGAACTGAAAAATACACTGACTATTTTAGGATTCTGACAGTAAACAAGCCCTGGCACGGTATCATGCATGCAAACGATCGTATTAACGGCCTACAATGATCGGTTATTAACCCTTTGCACTCGAAGCAATTTTAATTATAAATCTAAAATAATTTTTTTGACCTATATAGTATTTCCATTTTATATGACAAAGTGCATTTTATGCGTATGAAATTGAGTCTTGTGACTCATACAACAGGTTACACTTACAACAATTTTTGAAATCTAAGCTTCGATAATATAAAAATGATCTTGGAACTGTGATATAACAATTTTAGTGGTGCCTAAAAGTCGCCACTCGAGTGCAAAGGGTTAATTAAGTATATACGTACAGTCGACTGATGTCTCAGTTGGATTTTCTCGCAAACGAAGCCTCTCGCGCCATTTTATTATTCCATAGAGTCTACCTGACTCGATTTGTACCACGAACTATGAACGACCCTGTATATTAAAAGAATTCAAGAGCACATTCAACTCGCAGAGATTATTAAAAAAAAGAGAGAAAGAAGTCTCGCGTTCGTTGCAATCGATGGAGATATTTTTCATTTTGTGAAACTGCCAAGACTGAATTCGCTACTTTTATTGCATTGTGTGCTCGAATTAAGTTTATTAAAATCAACACAGCTGCGATAGAATCTTCAGAATATCAATAATCGTTAAATAAATAATGTGTGTCTGACCATTTTGAGCGGCACGGTAGCTTCAACGCCAACGAATTTCGTTGGAAGTAGCACGGTTTTCCAAGCGGACTCCCTCGTTTCCGTTCGCCAAACGCCATCTCGGATGCTTCCAGCAACAAAAACGGTTCCGTTCACGAAAAAAAAAGAAAAAAACGCGTTAATGAAACGGGTGGGACGCTGAATATTCTGTCGAGCGAAGTAAATTCGGCCTACCCTTCGGAAGCATTGGTACCCGGTTCCTCAACGAAATATCTTTTCCCATCGCGCCGGAGATTACGTAACACGGTGTCCCGGTCGAGAATGTTATTTCACGCGGAAAGAATTTTCCACGGCGAAGAAAGGTGTTCGCTCGCGCGGGGGCGCGCGTCACGCGCAAGTAGGAGAAACCAATTTCGTAGGTGAATTTTAGCTACGTATTATCCAGCCCCTCGGCCACCCCGTCGCAGTTTCCACCTACTTGGCCGCTAGTCCATTAGCGAGGCGCCCTCGTTTAAACGTTTCCGCCGCTTAATCGCGCATAGCTAATCCCACTTTTTCACCTTCCCCTTGGTCTTTTTCTTTTCCAGGGTTCCCCGGCGATTTTCCGTTCCGTGGCCGGAACTCGACGACATCGAGGCCGCCAAACCGTCGCATCGCGGACAGACTCGTTCGTCAGCCGCGTTAACACCAGCGGGTAGCACACCACCCAGTGGCACCGGTGCGTGTCTGTGAATTAGCAAGTGTCCCGTGTGCCCCAATACATCCATATATAGAGCATACCTTCGTATCGGTGCATCATAGAAGGATAATGCTGGTGGTGGTTGTCGGTTTCGGTGATCGACGACGATGCAGTCGGTGAACTAGTGACAGTGTAAAATCGATCGTCAGAGAAACCGGCTAGCCGGGCGGTCCTAAATATAGCTGGGAATAATGGCCAGCGCGACAATGGGTCTCCGTCGCAGAGTGCCGGTGAACAATTCGCCGACCCCGTCGGGCCAATCCGTGTCCGCGTCCAGCGGGTCCAGCAAACGCTCGAGGTCCGAGAACAACAACAGCCCGTCCCACGGAAATCTGAACTCGATGAACGCCTCGCGGGACGAGCCGCCTACCAAGAAGTCCCGCGGCACATCGACCAGCGCTACCAAGGCTGCGTCCTCGGCGTCCTCGAACTCCTCGTCCCCGGAGGTCAGCCCGTCCTCGAAGAGCCGCGGCGGCTCGGTATCGAGATCCGCGCAGGCAAAGACCTCGACGCCGCCGGGCTCCGGGGCAGACGCGTCGACGAACGGCGCGCTCTCCGCCAGCTGGCCGGCACAGCCGAACATGTCCGACATGTCGACCTACGCGTCCGTGCCCGGCCTCGGCATGGCCGCTAGTCCGAACGCCGGTCTCTGCGCTGGGAGCCTCAGCATGCCCACCCCTATACCGTACATGTCCTCCTCGATGGCGACGTTCGTCGGCAACGCGACCAACCTCGGCAAGAGCTCGTCGGTCTCCTATCTGGACATCTCGAATATGACCGGAGGGTCGCTGAGCTCGAGCGCGGCCGGTTTGAATTCGGGCTACGTAGCCGGGAACGGGAACGCCGGGAACGGCATCGACTCGAAGACCGGCGTGCCCATCCCGTTCCCCGGCATCGCTTCCGGCGTGAACGGCGACTACGGTATGCAGAAGGGCCAGCCGGAAAACGTCAGCCTGCCGAAAAAGTTCCAGAGCGACGGCATGTTCAACGCGTACCAGCCGTGGGTGATCAAGACGTACGGCGACCTGGCCAAGACCAAAACGATCACGATCAAGAAGTACGCGCGCATCCTGAGAACACTGCGGGGTGAGGAAGTGAACAGTGCGGAGAACAGTAAGTTTCGGTTTTGGGTGAAGAGCAAGGGCTTCCACATTGGCCAGCCGGAAGGATACGACGCGAAACCGGCGGACAGGATTATCGGGCGTCATGCAGTGACGAGTCCTGGATTGGATCCTCCGCTGTACGTGCCCACACAGCTGCCGCACAACAAGGTGAGTCTGTCTCTCCGAAGTGGATTATCGGGCTTTTCGTGGCCTCGTCGTTGCCTCGAAATTCGATCGAGGCTACAGTTTTGCGGGGATGTACGATCAAGTTCCGCGGAATTCGGGATGTTTGATTTTCAACGCGGGTGGGGGGAGGCAGCCCCCCGTTCTCTCGCCTGTTTATTTGCTTATTCGAACGAAAAATTTTCACCGCCCGCGCGGACCGGACGATAGCTCCCACGAATTTCAATGCGCGAACGCGGATGTTTCGAATTTTCATTTCGCGATCCGCCCAGCGTTGTGTATCTCTGCGACGAAAATTTTGCGGCTAATACGTTCCTTCTCGACTAGCAGATCAAATATTTTTCCCGACCCGGGAACACTGCCGACCGATGTTCGCCGATTTTTCGTGAAACTTTTGAAGCTCGGACTTTCGAGCTTGACCTTTCACGAAGCGAGCGGGGGTTAAATCGTATCCTGGACATTATCTATCGACGAACACGTAACTTCGATAAGGATACACGTTGAAATGGTGTCTCGTAGTTTTTGCGATAAGGATAGGTTACAATGAAACAAACACTGAGTTTTGAAAGATAAGAGATTCACCGTTGATAGCAACAATTTTTTAATTTCTCCACTTTTGACGAACATCGCGACACGGTACGACATACGTCTTGACTTCAGAGCTGACCCAGGTCGCTCGCGCGCGCTTTGTAACAAAATCCCGCAGTTTTTAAACCGCTCGGGTTAATTTGACCGCGCATGGTTCGCGGAAGGTTAAATGAAACGTAGTCGCGTTTTTCTGAATTTCGTAACAAATATGCGTGATTCTTTTCAAGAAAATGTTCGAACCGATTTGTAGGGCCGAGAAGTATAACTATATATAATATATACTATAACTATACATATAATTTATACTATAACTATATACATAATATCCTATGTAAATAGAATAGTATGAAAGGGTATCTTTTCTATATTTATTCTACAACTATTCTACTATTTGTCCCGAAAATGTCTCGCTATCCGGAAATGGGAGGTTCCTGAGGTCATTTGAAGCAACTTTCTCCTTTGCGAAAATTTTATCCGAGGCTTCGTTTACGAGATATTAACGAAAAACATTGACCAATAAGACGCGAGCTCGGCTGGCGCGCGGCGGCCCAGCCAACGAGTGCACGGAGCCCAGTTCCGCTCATTGGCTCGGCCGTCTCGCGCCAGATGATCTCGCCTCTGATTGGTCACTGTTTTTCATTAATAACTCGTAAACGAAGCCGCGGATTGCATTTTCGCTAAGGAAAAAGTTGCTTCAAATGACCTCAGGAATCCCCTACTTTCGAATTGCGAGACATTTTTGGGACACCCTATATAACTATTTTTTCATATCATTGGTCGTTCGCGATTTGTAAGCACTTGTGTAGAAGAAACCGGTTCGGATACGAGAGTCGATTTCTCTACTCACCGGAAGCTCGATAATTTTCTGTTAAATAACAATTTCACAAAAGACATTGTCACAGTGTAATAATCCAAATAAATTCGTTGAATTATTGAGGAAACGGTTGTCGCGTTTCAACAATATTTTAACAAATTCTCGATTGTTGATCTTCGCTGTAAAAAGTCGAAGAAAATGTTAACGCACACTTGTGCAAAGTTTCGTAAAAATCGGCGCGCGTCGGTCACGGGAATCTCCGTCTGCCGCAGACTCGAAAAAAAGTAATTCGGATCGATTACACGGATCGAACGGTAGAGAATCGAATGTAAGACTCGAACCGGACCAGATCGAACCGAACCAAAGTGTACACTTCGAAATCATGAACCCGGTGCTCGGTAACCAAACGTTTCCGAACGGAGCCACGCTAAAAATACTTCATATTGAGTTCGCACATTTGTCCGACGACGCGCCGAATATACTCTAACCACATCTAAACACGCTTCGCAAGACTTCGGCTCGGTTCGGTTCGGTTCAAATCACAATCAATTTTTAAATTTCGACCCGGAAATGCCTCGACAGCCGGGCGCAACAGCCCCGATACCATTTCCTGCATCACTGACTGATCAAACCCGGGTGCCGCCTTTGGACAGCCGCGTCTTTTATTACACGACCACGTATTTCGAACGTTGCACGATGGTGCTCGGAACAATGCGATTAGAAGTGTCGGTGCCATTAGGCTTGGCCGAATGTCCCTGAACGCGGCAGATCGCTGCGTTCGTTAGAAATGAGTTCTTTTCGAATGGATTGCGACAAAAACCATTTAACTCGCACGTAAAATTTAACTCGCTCCAAAAATTTACTGCGATAAGCAGACTGCGGATTGCATGCATTTATGGCAAAAATGACTAGCTGAAATATTCGAAAAAAATTGTAAAGACACGAGCAGAATTTAGTAATATTGTTAAAATTAATAAATTAATATATTGAATTAATATAATAAATTAATATTAATCATATATAAATAAATTAATTAAAATTAATATAATAAATTATTATTAATCATATATAAATTAATAAATTAATTTGTTTAACTTCCGTTTCTTACAATCGTTTTGTATAATAATTTTATCCGTCGACGTGATAGACCCTTCGTTAAAGCGAGAAAATGACGTCGTAGCAGTCACAAATGAACGGATAAATTATAAATAAATAAATCATGTGTAAATCAATAAATTAAAATTAGTATCGTCAAACTATTTTCAACTTATCAAAATTCTTAGAAGAAACGATTTCGTTTTATTTAACTTCCGTTTCTTACGACCGTTTCGTATAATAATTTTATCCGTCGACGTGATAGACCCTTCGTTAAAGCGAGAAAATAACGACGTAGCAGTCACAAATGAACGGATCAAATGCAACAATTGAAAACTAAAATATAAAAACTCTCGAGAAAGAAAGAGAAATGCATGAAATATAGCTTGATCAAATGATGAAGGCGAACGGCATTAGCAGCAGAAAGCTTGACGGAAGTGTAACAATGATAAAAGAGATCTAGTCGATCGCAGTATCGATTTGAAACAATAAGTGAACAGTGTAATGAAACGGCAACAGAAATTGCCAAACTTCTTCGATCGTTCCAACAAATCGATCCAATTCTTTTAATCTCTGCGCGACGCGCCGCATTTTTGTCAGAAATGCGTAAAATCCGCAGTCGAGCATTAAGCGGGAGCAGCGTTTATCGCGAGCCTACGTTTACATCGGCCGTTGGCCGCCGCGATAAGGGAGAAATATTAAGAGATCAAACGGTATTTGTTGGACCGTCTGTTCGACCGGACTTCCGCTCGGAGTCAAAGGGCTTTTCAACATCGTCCGGCTAAATTGTTCGTCAAAATTCAGAGTAAAGACACGCGTGACCCCGTCGATTAATACCCGCCATAAATTATCCGGTACGCCAATCAATTAGTCCACGCGAAGTCATAAAGAGAGAAACATCGGTGTGTGTGCCGCCGCCGCTGCTGCGTGTGTGTTCGCGCGCGCGGTGCGGCGCGGCGCGCGTGTGTGTGTGTACGTGTATCCCGGGACCGGGTTTCTCTGGCCGCGCACGTTCTCCGCTCCCGCGATCCGCCTGTCGACCGCAGACGATTTCTCACCGGATTCACGCGGGCGGTCCACTGAAACGGCGGGGTTACGGGTCGGAAATTTATCTGGCGGGCAAGTAGAAAAGCCGCGAGAAATCTCGGGCACGACTGCTAGGAAAATGAATCGCGCGCGAGCCGGGGTGATGGAGGAGGAGTAGGGGCGGCGGGACGGGAGCGAGAGGAAGAAGGAGGAACGGAGAGAAAGAGGAAAAGGCGCTCGCCGCTCAGATAAGGTGGCTGCTTAATTACGTCTAATTACACGGATACGTAGGTAGCCGTGGCCGGCGGTGGCCAGCGGTCGTCGCTTGGAGAAAAAAAAAAAAAAAGAATGTCGAGCAACGGCGCTTCGATCCAGTTGCCGGAGCTTGCCAGACTTTAGAACTTTGTTCGCGCTTGCCCGTGCAGGCCGATTTTAAACGAGTTTTCCGAAATTTCTACCGGGCGCCTGATGATGCGTTTGTAGGCACCCTTTTTTTCGGTCTTTCGAAAATTCTTTCGTTCTACGACATAATTCTGATCATTCGAACTCGACATTATTTTCATTCGGAATCGTTCGGTTTGCTTCGTTTGTTTAATCGAAAGAATTTAATTTTTTTATTTTATTATTTTAATTATATATATTTTATTATGTATATTATTTATATATATATTATATATATTTATATATTATTATATATTTTATTATTATAGTTTTTATATTTTATTTTTTAATTTAAACAATTAGAATTGCCTAAAATACCTAGTATCAAATTTTTTATTTTCCTGTTAACATTGAACCTTCCGCGGTCTCTAAACTGTCCGGTTTTTTATTTTACAATTTTACAGTCTTTGGTGACTCTCCCGTGGCAAATGCTCGAATATATTACATTATTAGAGCAGATTTTGTAATAAAAACTTCACAAAATCCAGATGAATTCGATTTTCGTACTCTTGTACTGCTGGCTAGATTTAGTGTTAAAGTTTTCTGTGCAATTATTAAATAAATTTAAACGAAGGCTCTGTGGTCGACATAACTGTTTATGTCGTATATGTGATTTATGCGTTATGTATAAATAGATTGTGTTTAAAAATATGGATTTAAACATCGATTTTTTTAACAATCGTTTTGCATCTTTTACACAATTTTCTGTTGCCGGTTTACACTACTCATCTAAATGTCTCTCTTCGTCTGTT